TTTTTAGAATTGGTGAAGGTAAATGAAATGATATTACAAGGGGTAAATATTCATGGAAGAAAGTAAACTACAAGGGAATCAATGCATCACTTGGATTTTTTTAATAAATATATCGACGAAAGGGGAAAAGTATAAATGAGTGTGTGTTTTTTGAAATGGATGGTTTTTCTATTTGCGTGGTTTAATAGCCAATTTAGTCCTCACTTTGGTTGAAAAATCTCAATTTAGTCCCTCGTTATAAAAGTGTTTTGAATTAGTCCTAACTTTTAAAATAGTGGGTCAGATTGGTCCTTTCTGTTAAATATAAGTTAACAAAATTAATGGATGATGATGTGACACAACTTAAAGCTAACGAGGGACCAATCTAACACATCAGCTTTAAGCTGTGTCACATCATCATCGATTAATTTCGTTAACTTATATTTAACGAAAGGGACGAATCTGACCCACTATTTTAAAAGTTAGGACTAATGTAAAACACTTTTATAACGAGGGACTAAATTGAGATTTTTCAATCAAAGTGGGGACTAAATTGGCTATTAAACCATTTTTCTATTAGTTAATGTTATGTAAAATTTTGAAGGCAGATTATCCGGGGAGTGCAAAAAGAAAGTTGAGGTAAAAAGTTGAATCGGTTACTGAGTCCAGAAGCATAGTCTCTGATTTTCAAACAGACAATCATCGATTCTTAACTTTTGTTTTGTTTGGGGGCTTGTGTTCACACATGACGTTATAGGTAGCATGGTGAGGAAAATCAGATTCTGCATATGTAAAAAAGTGATTATTGGATCCCACTTGTTTTGCTTCTTCTGCGCCAAACAATAACCTTGCCTCACACTTCAAGCATCACACTAATTATTTAGCAGTATCAATGCTCCAAAACAACCACTAATTTTATTCAAAACAATTCTTGAGAAAAGGAATTTGAATTGAAAATAATTCAAATTTAATACTTTTTAATTTCTTTGAAAGCATAAATGCTTGTCATATCAGTTTTGAACTTACAAATTTATTTATTATTTAATTAAAAAGTTTATTGATTAGACCTGATTTTTACTTAATTATAATTTCATCAGTGCGATCTAATTAAGAAGAAATAAGAAACAAGAACAATAACCAGAAAAAGTCTCAGAATGAAAAGGAGAGCCGGTCTTACATTGTGAAAGTAAATTTTTTAAGATTACTAACTGTTTCAATACAACTATTATAAAATTATCAATTTAGTTTGTAATTCAGTGACCTTGTGAATGTATTTACAAAGTGTTATTCTCATAAAAAAAATATAGTTTAATGGACAGATATTATAATTTATAAAAGTAAACATTTTAACATTGTTAATCGATATCAGTATAATTATTATAAAATAAAAAAAAATAGATTATAATTTAATGGCAGTGTTAGTGTATTTCTATATTATATTTCTTAAAAGTATAAACATTCAATCTGGTTATAAGATAATAAAAATAGTTAATAAAGTAGAAACCAAATCCCCTTCATATTCTTAGTTATGTATACAAATTATTCTGCAACACCGAAGAAGACAGACAAATTTCATATCTTACATATAAGGAAAAAAAAAGCATGAAATGGTGAAATGAGAGCAAAGACAACATGGTCTTGCTCAATTCATGACGTTGATGTTCATGAGCCATGGGTCTAAAGGCTTCCCAATTGAGTAAACAATGAATCCAATTTCCCTTAACTTGTGAACATCCAAGATGTTTCTACCATCAAACACAAAAGCTGGTTTCTCCATGTTCTGGTACACTCTTTGATAGTCAATTGTCTTGAACTCATCCCACTCTGTAAGAATGCACAGTCCGTGAGCATCTCTAGTTGCCTCATAAGCATCTCCAACAACATTAACCATTGGGTGCTCCCATTCAACACCATTCATACAAAGGTCCTTTTCAATCTGATTCTCATTAACGCGTGGATCATAGATGCTCAAACACGCGTTATCTCCCAAAAGACCTTTGCAAACATCAATTGCAGGACTTTTCCTTGTGTCACTCGTGTCCTTCTTGAAGGCAAATCCCAGAATTGCAATCTTCTTACCAGAAATTGTGTTGAACATTGAACTCACAACCCTGTGCACAAACCTACTCTTTTGGTACTCATTCACCTTGATCACTTCTTTCCAGTAATTTCCCACTTCGGTGAGGCCATTGCTCTCACATATATACACCAAGTTGAGTATGTCCTTTTGAAAGCAAGAACCACCAAAACCAACACTGGCATTGAGGAACTTTGGCCCAATTTTGGTGTTTTTGCCGAGAGCAAGAGAAACTTGTGAGACTTCGGCCCCGGTGGCTTCACATAAAGCAGACATAGCATTGATAGATGAAATCCTTTGAGCTAAGAAGGCATTGTCAGCTAACTTGGACAGTTCTGCCGACCACAAGTTTGTTGTTACGATTCTGTCTTGAGGCACCCAATAAGCGTATATGTCCTTCAACTTTTGGATTGCATCTAAACCTTGAGGGTCTTGGTTCCCTCCAATAAGAACCCGGTCAGGGTTCAGAAGGTCTTGAATAGCCGTTCCCTCAGAGAGAAACTCGGGATTTGACAGAATTTCGTACTTGATACCCTTGCTTTTACTGTTTTGACTTAGAATTTTCCCAATTGCCTCAGCTGTTCTCACTGGGACAGTGGATTTCTCGACAACAATCTTATCAGAGTTGGAAACATCAGCTATCATCCTGGCCGCACTTTCCCAATAAGTTAAGTCTGCAGCCTTACCGGCTCCAATTCCTTTGATTTTTGTGGGGGTGTTAACTGAAACAAAGATTACGTCTGCTTCGTAAACGTGCTTTTCCACATCGGTGCTGAAGAGGAGATTCTTTCCTCTACACTGATTCACCACTTCTTCTAGGCCAGGCTCATAAAAAGGGAGTTTCTTGCTATTCCAGGCTGATATGCGAGACTCAGATATGTCAACCACAGCCACTTCAATTGACGGACACTTCAGGGCAATCACAGCCATTGTAGGACCCCCCACGTACCCAGCTCCAATTCCACATATCTTCACCATTACAACCTATCAAGTTCAACACATTTCAAGCACACCAGTTTCAGATCATAAATTTAAGATTACTTTCAAAACCAACCACAACCATTATTAACTGTATCCTTATTTTATTACTGAGAAATATCTACTGGAATCCGGAGAGATAAAAACACCAATAAAATCTAAACACAATCGTATAAAGAATTCACATCACTCTACTCAAAACCTTAGAACCAATCAATTCTGACACATATATGTTATCGATGAGCAGAATGAATAAAGTAACAAGAGTTCAAAGTACCTTGTATTATATCTGTGTTCAAAGTTTAAACTTCACAGCAAAAGGATCATACGAGAGAAGAGTGTTTGTGTACAGATGATAAGATGAGAAATATTGTCAGAAGACAATAGATTTGGAAAAAGCATGAGGACAATGTCTTTAAAAAAGATTTTGAAACTTGACTTACGCAGTCTATTTATCTGCCGCTAAACAATTGTTTGAAAATTCACAAACAAATCAGATACATAACGCTATTAAATTTTTATAATTACTTATGTCCTACATTTTACATTAAAAAATTATTATATTTAACTATGGATAAACTGAATTCATTATTTCACGTTTTGACCTATTGATTCTATATTCACAAATTCATCAAACAAACTTATTAGTAGTATTTTTACCTAAAGTTAAAAACAATTTCTGTAAAAAATGGAATTAGTGTTAGGTGGGAGAAAACAAGAGATCAAATCCAAATTGGCTTATTCATGCTATTTTCCACAATGCCAAATTCCAATAATTGATGGCCATATGCCCAATTCCAGGTATCAGCAGTAACACATGTCACACCATTTAAAGTGTTTAACTCTCTTATTAAATTACCTGTTCTAACAATATATTTCATTATATAATAAAAAAATCATAAAAAATAAATTGAGACAGAATGAAAATAACATATCAATAAGACAACGCAAATATACTTTTAAAGAATCTAAACCCAAATTGTATAATTTATTAAATACTCAGTTCCGTTTTTTTTTATCAAATATTCAAAATAAAAATAGATTATTTTAACCACATAAATATGTTTAACACAAAAATATAAAATAGCTATTATATTTAAATATATTTTTAGTAGTTAGAATTGCAAGACTATATGATAGCACTGTTAAGAGTGCAAAGAAAAAGTATAACAATTTTTAATAAAGAAATATGTTCTATAAATAGAATGATTAATAGAATTGATCAATGATTTAAACAACAACTTAATAATAAATTAAGTATACCATAAGTTTGTAGATGTAGTATCTGAGAGAATTTAACCTAAAAATAGATCATTCTTTTTAATTTTACAATTTATCTAGATATTTTGAAAAAAAACTATTATTTAATTCTTGGTATTTGATAATATGTGTATACAAATATGTACTTGAAATATTTTTTAGGTTTAATCATTTGAAAATTTCTATTTATGTATATTATGTTAATTAGGTTTTTTATTTTGAAAGAGTTCAATTAAATTCCTTTTTATGTAAAATTCATTAATTGTTATAAACGGCATTAAAATGACATTGTGAGGATAAAAAATATTCGATAATCTATTTCAACCTATTTAAACTGTATTATATATAACCTGATCGATCCGTCTGGGACTGAAATTAACGTCACATTACAAACTTCATTATTGAATGATCGATGATTTTGTCTTATTAAGTTCATTTATATTATCATGTAATGAGTGGTATGTGGTCCAAAGAATAAAAAGTAGAAAACCCGTTGGAAACTTGAGCAAATAATAATAATAAAGTAAAATGATTGTAACATGAAATTAACAAATATATGAGAATTTAGAGAGACATAAAAATAGATTAATAAATAAAATACAAAAAAGGTTAGTATTTCTATAAAAAGTAAAAAATATTTAAATGCTGAAAAAGTTGAATACACTACTTACTTACTGATTGAATGATTTTAATTAATTTTTTTATTAGAAAAAAAAAAGAAAATATATATATATATATATATATATAGATAACAGAATACGTAAAATCCATTTAATAATATAAATTACTAAACAAAATATTATAAATTCTAATATTATAAGTAAACTAAATACAAAATATAAATACATATCTTAAGTAATAGTCATACAAATATTTTATGTATATAAGGTCTTTAAAAAAACAAAGAAAAAACAAACATTTATGTTCTATATATAAAGTAAACAAAATAACAGCGAAACATAGATTACTCAAGTGCATCTTTTGTCCCAACAAAGGAGTGTTGACACTTAATTCTCCTTTTATTTATACAATTAGGTAATCGCCAAAAGAAAAAGGAAACTATTATTTTAAAAGAACTTATAATATTAATCATTTAAGTAAATCATATAATACCATATCACATCAAATTTTACTTTTCATGAGGCATATAACAATAAACTCTACATTCAATTTATTTTGATATATTGTAGAGATATAAATGTGGGTTATCACCTTACTACTTACGAAATTAATCTTTTACACTTAAAATCAAATTCTAGGTAAAGACCTCCAACCATACTTCTCCCCTTCCCATTCATCTCTGTATTTGTTGAATGGTGGTATATCAAAATACCTTCTTTCAAAATTTCTTTCTATCAAGCATACACTAATCATTCACCAATTCATAAAATCTTTCCTTGAGACCTTACCTCACAATACACATCACACATGATTCAAGTATATTCACATCCCATAATATAAATCATTCACAATTCAACATAAATGCATTTATCTAAATCAGTTTAACCATCCAACTCCTAATTATCATAGAAAATCTGTATTGATCTTGCTACAGGGAGCGCACAGTGTCAAAATTGATGTTCAATGAATTGACGTAAATTAAACTCCAAACCCCTTCCTACAACGCTAACACTTAGTTACACAACTTTAATAATTAAAATACAACTTTGTTGTTAAACATTTTAAAATTATTAAAAATAATGAATTTTGAACTTCTTAAGTGTGTTAACCAATATCTATTTAAAATGTTTAATAAACAATAATATATGCTTGTTTTTAACATTCTAAAAATTATTTTACAATAAAAAATAGTAATTACTTTTTAAAATGTTAAAGAAAAACAAATTAATTTAAAATTTACATATATAAAAATATAATTTTAAAATTTAATTCAATCTTATTCACAACTTATTTCTATCTATATATATTCTAGAAATTTTCTTTTGAAAATTTTGTTCAAGAAATCTTTTTTTCAAAATATATTTCACACGTTCCGGAAAACTGATTTTAGAATTTATGTTTAGATATTTTTGTACAAATCTTGTTCCGAAAATTTCAAAAGGTCTATTCCAAAAAGTTTTCAAAATATATATTATGTACTCGGAAAGTCAGTTTTTGAGAGGGTAAAATGGTTATTTTCAAAAGTTGAGGGTCCGCAAAGAAATTGGGGTATGCAAGAAGTAAAAGCCCCATCAAATTAGGCCTTAAGCCCAGTTAAATAATAAGCATTTGAGCAATTTTCATAAGACCGTCAAGATTTGTGCTATGTGACAGGAATTCTTCTATGTGCTGATCATTAAGACAGTAATTAATATTCTTACTCCTTTCCTCAACAGCAATACAAAGTCCACTAATGAATAATCACAAATCTAAGATATTCATTTATAACTATGATTTCATTTCACAAGCAAACGATACAGATGGAAAAAAATAATTCTAAGTAGCTATTTCGTGTTCTTTCTCATTTTTATTTTCTTTTTCGTTTTTTCTTTCAAAACAACAGCATTAGGTCAGTGGAATCCGCTGAATTTCTCTAAATAGAATGGACATGGATTGGATTTTTAAAGATCCAAATAACTAGATTTTAGATCTAAATATATTTTTACAACAAAAGTAGTTTGAATTATTTTAAAATTCAAATATTTTGGTCAAGTTTTAAATCGAGACCAAGATTAAATTTTAAATCTAAAATCATAAATTTGGTTGAATTTAGTCAAATTTTGATCGTTTTAACTCTTCTCAATTCAGTTAAATTTTAACATGAGCTAAGTTAGCCAAATTTTGATTATGATGACTCAGATGAATTTCGACTTGGAATAACTCGGTCAAATTTCAAGTTTAGCCAAATTTCAATTTCAGTTAGGACTGAATTAGTGAAATTTGCCAAATTTTGGATGTTCCCACCTCGTCCAATTCAACCAAATTTCGACTGAGATAGACTTAACCAAAATTCAATCAGGATTGTCTTGACGAAATTTGGTCAAATTTTAATCTAAACTAACTTGGTTGACCTTCGACCTAAGCTAGTCTGTTTCGACCTTTGGTCTGAGAGTCGAACAATCTCAACTTTCAATCCGAATTAACTTGTCTTGACTTTTAACCTAAGTTGGCCAAGCTCAATCATCAATCTAGATCCCTAGGTTTACTTGTTTCGACTTTCGACTTAAGCTGACCCAACTTAACCTTTTGCTTGAGTTGACCATTTCAACCTTTGAACAAGAACGGATTGTTTCAACCTTCTGTCTAAACCTGGATGAGACGACCTTCAGTCCGACCTTATCTATCTCAACTTTCAACCCGAGCCGACCTAGTTTAACTTTGCATGCATCTCAGATGACTCATCTCGACTTTCGACCTAAACTAACTTAGTTTAATCTTACATTCAAACAAATTCATTTCGATATTCAACCTAAGCCAATCATTCTCAAATTTTGTTCTAGGCTAATCTATCTTAACCTTCAATCCAACCCAACTAAAAATTTAAATTGAAAATTTGGATTGAATATTTGAATTTTCCATATTTGTAAATCTATATTCAAAAGATAAATATCCAATAAAAAATTTTTAAAATGTAGATAAGATTAAAATCGAGACAGAATAAAATGGATTTTAAATGGGATGGACTTTTAATAAAATGGATTGGATTGGAGCAGATCACATCGAGAAAAGTGGATTTTTTGCCCACCGCTAAGAACATACATGCCTCAATGAGATGTGCATAGCCATGTTCATGTCACCTGCAAAAAATGCTTGATATGTCTCCGAGCTTTCTAACTGTTGTCACTGGTTACATTGGAGAAGTCACTGAACTTTCATAAACCTAGTTGCTTCGACATAAATCAAGGGCATGAGAGAAACGTAGAAAGCAATGCAATCACCTCTTGTTAGTAACGTACTTTGAGTACGTTACTTTCAAGGCAAGGCAACTAGCTTCCACTTTCTTGAACAGTAAACATTTTGAGTTTTTAATGAAAGAATACAGTGAAAAAATGAAATGCAATTAGGTGTGAATATTGCAGTTGAGGTAGGTGGCGGAGTAAATTTACTTAAGCCCTTGTTCCTCTTGCATGGAAAATCTAGAGAAAGAGGAAGCAGTGACTACTCCTACAAGGAGACTCAACATCGAGTACAATGGCAGTGACCT